TCTTCCCTCTGCATTAAAATTCCTGAGGGTTATTCTCTAGATGGTAAAATAACCAGAATGCAGTCCAGTTTTGGGTCCACACAGTCCACATGTGCTTCTAATAGTCTTTGTTCTACTCAGTCTAATTCTTTTTCAGCCTCAGCTGATAATATTCATGGTCTCTTTAGTCCTTGTCTCCTTTTAGGGCCGTTTTCAGGTGTTTTAAATCATTGTCTATAGATGAGAAATTTCTCGTATTTTTTGAAGATAATTAAGAGTTTGGTAACGTTCTCTCTTGATCTGCACATTTTGTGATCTAATTTTCTGTAGATCTATTTTATAATCTAAATAACTAATAGAACCTCCAGTTTGTATTTTTTTCTGGGGCATTTTGTAATCCCCAGCGAGGTAAAATTTCCTTTACTGCCTCAAACATCTTTCCCAACATTCCTTCCTTCGAATAAGCCAGCAATATGTCATTCATATAACGGTAAATTATGGATTGTGGAAATTATTTCCAAAGGTTTTTGCACAAAATACTGGCATAAAGTAGGACTATTTAACATTTTTGTTGCAAAACCTTCCACTGAAATCTTCTAACTGGTTGAGAATTGTTATAGGTAGGCATTGTGAAAGCAAATTTTTCCCTGTTCTTTTCTTTCAAAGGTATAGTGAAGAAGTAATCTTTTAGATCAATAACTATAATTAGCCATCCTTTAGGTATCCAGAGAAGGTAATGGCATCCCAGGCTATAGAGAGCCCATAGGCTGAATAACTTTATTGATATCTCTCAGATCAGTAAGCATTTTCCATTTACCAGACTTTTTTTATAATAAATACAGAATTCCACATACTGGTGGATTCTTCAACATGTCCAGCATTTAGCTGTTCCTGAACCAGCTTTTCTAAAGCCTCTAACTTCTTATGTGTCATAAGCTGTTGCCCTACCCAGACAGATTCATCTGTTAACCATTTTAAGGGTAGTGCTTTTGGTTCCTCTGTAGGGGTGTCACTAGCATCTTGTTTCTGCACAGCCTGTATATTTGTCATCTGTTTACTGTTGTGCCTTACAATATATTTTCTACCACTAAGAGCTTATTTATGATTCATACCTGACACAGGAAGAATGATAATCTGGGTATTCCATTGTTGCAATAAGTCATGACCCCAGAGATTTGTAGCAATATCTGTGACATATGGTCTCAGTGTTCCTCTTTGTCCTTTGGGCCCTATACAGTCAACCCATCTTGTTCTTTGTTGTACTTGAGATAGGGTTCCAATCCCTAACAATTGAAAATGTACTTCTTGTAGGGGCCATTTTAGAGGTCAACATTCTTGAGTTATAATAGTAATATCTTCTCTAGTATCTACTAAGCCTTCCAGTATAATGGTATTTATTTGCACTTTTAATTTTGGTCATTTATCATTTATAGAAGTCTGCCAAAATACAGTTTTTGTTTCCTCTAGTATCAATTGTTTCATCCTCAGTAACTAATCTGTCATCCACAGTACCATTACATCCTTACAATAGGCAGTAGATCTTCTAATTGTCCTGGGAGAAATCATCCTCCACAGTGACTGGGATTGACCGGATCACTTTTCACACGGGGCCCTTCAAGAGGCCCCTTGAGGAGTTTCCCGGTTGAAAAGGGTTACCTTGTTTGTCTGTGGTCGACCTACGTTCATTGGTCCAGTGTTGGCCTTTGCCACATCTCCTCTATAATCCAGAAGGCTGGCGCCTTCTGTTTGAATCATTCCTAGGAGAAGCATTATTTCTAGGCATGCTTTGCCTATAGTTCCTACTCTGATGTCCTATTCTACTACAGTTAAAACATTTGGTATTACAATGTCTTTTTAAACTCCTGGAGATTGATTCTCCAACCCAAGTCTGTATCTGTTAGAGCATTTGTCCTATTGGTGGCTCTTTAGGCCTCTATAAATGGCCTCTTCTACCCAAGTTCCTGTCTCTTGATGTTATACTCTTTTTGCTGTATGTAAAACCTATTCATCCAATGGCACTGATTTAATTTTTATTTATTTTTTTTGTTTGTTTTTTCGAGACAGGGTTTTCTCTGTGGCTTTGGAGGCTGTCCTGGAACTCCCTTGGTAGTCCAGGCTGGTCTCGAACTCACAGAGATCCGCCTGCCTCTGCCTCCCGAGTGCTGGGATTAAAGGCGTGTGCCACCAACGCCCGGCTTTGATTTAATTTTTAATGGCCAGAGTATTTATAAGGATTTTTCTAGACTCTGTGTCAGATACTTGTAATTGCACTGCTCTGGCCAGTCTTTCCAAGAATTTAGTGAACCTTTCTCTTGGACTTTGTATCACCTTGGCATAAGGTTCAATTCTTTCTCCTGGTTCATGAACCTTACTCAAAGCATTCAGAGTTGCATAAAGATAGGGTGCGGTTTGTCATATTCACCCTGGGCCTGTGGATCAACATAGTCACTCTCACCAAGACTGCTGTCTTGGGAAGTCTCCTGACCTTTCTTTAAACTTTGAAGCTCGATGGCCTTCACTTCCTTCCTCCACAAAGCCCTCCATTGTATTTGAGGCAAGTTGTCTAGCACCACTGAAATAAAGTGACCCCAATCTTTTGGAGTTAATCAATTTACACCTGCCCAAGAGTTCAGCAATTCCCTGACGTAGGGGCTCTGGACCCCATACAAAACAATGGCCTGCTTAGTCCCCTTCAGGTGCTTCCTCTGGATTGGCTCCCACTGATAAATGATGGAACCATTATGTTGCCTCCTTGTTGCTGGTCTTTCAGTCAGAGCTACTGGGAAGGCCATATGAGGTGGCCTAACAAACTTGGGAAGAGCTCCTATGGGTCCTGTAGGTATATCTCTGCCATGACCTGCCACTAGACATGGTGAATCTGATGTATCAGCTTGTAAATCCTCGAAGACTTGCAGCCTCATGACCATCGTGCCTCTGAATGATTGAATTTTCTGAGTCAGAAATTTTTCTAAGGACTGCATAGAATCTGCCCGTTTGTTGGATTCCTCATTTATGCACAATTCCAAGCACTGAATACTATCATCCCTGGAGGTCTGAATAGTGTGTAAGTTGCCTTCTAGGAATAGTGTTCTATCTGCTAGACAGCCATTATTTTCAGACATGGAGTGAATTGTTCCTGATAATTTGATGGCTTCCTCCTGACTGGATTCTATTTTGGCCATAAGGGCAGTGAACATGGAATCAATCATGTCTTTTAAGTTGTTATGTTTACATTCCAAGTTGTCTACTCTGTTAGACAGTTCCTCTTTGACCTGAAGATTTTGATTTTTTTACTCTTTTTAATCATCTGTACAATTTCCCCACTATCTGCCTTATTATTATTAATGAATCTCTTCCATGTGATTATATGTAAGAGGAAGTTAATTGTGAGCATCAGACAGAAATACATTTGAAACATGTCACAATTGTCTCCCAATATGTAATCCATGACATTGTCAATGGGATCTCTAATGTTCTGCATCGTTAAATTATCTGCTATGGTATAAGGCAAGTAAAGGTACCACTGATTTTAAAGTTGCAACCTTACCTCCAAAAATTTTCTGGTTAAGGATTTGTACCTGCAGTTAGTGTCCTTTGCTAGTAGATGGCATAGGTGTACCGCCAAACACAGCTACGCTGCAAAAATTAGGTGTCTTTAGGCGAATCTGGCAAACTCCAAGCAGCTTCCACAGAAAATTAGCAAGCCGACTTACTAAAAGGGGAAAAAAATGGCTGGAGCAGACTGCGGGATCCTGTGGGCTATGGAAGGAACACGGGCACTGTGGAGAGGAGGCAGGCCCCCCGGAAGGGGAGCAGACGCCGAGGCGCACTTCGGGGATGGTGCTGCCAAGGGCCAGTTCGGCATCTCCGTGTGCAGCTGCTAAGGGGTGCTTGTTTAGCAAGTTTTGGGTTGCTGGTTCCAAAGCGGTGGCTTGGCCAGGCAGGACACGAAAGTGGCGCAGGGTGCAGGGCGCAGAGCTGAGTGAAGTTGCTTGTCCCGCAGCCGTTTGCACGAGGCGTGCAGGGAGGCGTGCCCGTTCCAAAGCTCTGCAGGGACTGAGGCTTTTAAGGAGCTGGCAACTGCTAGTCCGGGCTGCGCTTGAGCTGTTGATTGGGAGGGCAGGACTGGATTGGGAAATCCCCAGTGACCCAGGAGGGAAACCTAGGACCTGGCCGGGGCCGCCTGGGCAGTTACCACAAGGGGTGGGGGTGGCAGCCGGTCCGGCAGGAAGCACGGACTCTGGGGACCAACTCCTGACATCAGCTGAAACAGAAACAGTGCAACTGGAAAAGGGGGTCTAGGATACTTTATTAAACATAGAAATCACTTACAGGGGAAGCTGGGAAGCGCTCTGCTCTCCGAAGCACAGCACGGTCAGGATCCAAGAGAGCCAGACTGCCCACCTATTCCTTCTTTATCCCCTGAATCGTACTGTACCTGTGACCACGCCCCCCTGGTCTCTCCCTACACCTCACTCTGTGGAACTTGTCACGCAGAATCTACTGGATTTGGTGCGGCTAGACCCTGCAGTCCAGGGTCTGTGGTTGGGCAAGAGGAGTTTCCTGTCTCACAGTTCCTAGGTGGTGATACCTGTGATCAGCACTGGGATCCCACATTTAGCATTACACTTCTGCCAATGTGTTCACCTTAGTGCAATGTAGTGCCTTGAGGCGTGTATAAATCTATCATGAGTTAATTCACCAAAATGTTGAGTCCCATCCACAAAGTTCCTCATGGTATGATTTTGGCCTCCATGGTGACAGGCAACAGGATTGAGAATTTTGTTGGGCACAGTTTTGTTGGGCACACCCTGTAAAGTAGATGACAGGGAACTTCTCATCCAGCTATGTCAGCAGCCCTCACCTCTCTTCACCTGAACATCCTGCCTCTGCTGGCCTGGGTCAGGATAGCAAACTTAATTAGCAAAGAATTTCCAAGTACATTGGAGACAGTGTGGAATTCCACGGTCTCTGGTAGTCTTGTACATGAAAACTTTGTTCATGGAGATTTTTGCTTCTAGGTGCATCCATGCCCTACCAAAGACCAAATCCTTTATCTGAAAAACCTGAAGATGGAGTATAATCAGGTCATGGCAGACCTGCATAGGTTAGAGAATGAGAACATTGAAGCCTTAGATAAATTCAGTCAGCACGACAAGAAGTCACTCTTTTATTGGTAAGTGCCTATCTTGCAGGGAACCACAGCATTGTGAAATGTACATCTCTGCCTTTCTGGTTTTCTGGACTGCAATGTTCACACTTCTGTTTCTAGCCTTTATGTCTCTTAGCAAACATCCTTAGCAAGAATCTCTTGATCTTGTGACTCTGACACTGATTTTTGCTAATTGTGAGAGACAGTTAGTTCCTCCCAGGAACAGACTCTCATCCTTAATAGAATCTAGTTTAATGGTTTTCAACTTTCCCAATGCCATGACTGTGTTAATACAATTTGTCATGTTTTGGTAAGCTCCAACCATAACGTTATTTTTCCAGCTACTTCATAATTATAAATTTGCTACTGTTATGAATCATGATGTAAGTATCTGTTATGCAGGGTGCCTGAGATGCCACTCATTGGAAGAGTCATGACCACCTCTCTAGGTAGAATAACAATTGCCAACATGAGAGTGGTATCAGGCAGGGGCCTATTGCCCCCATGAGTCCTCTGAACCCCTTGAGTCTCCTATGCTCCCTCCTAGTGGATTTATCTCCTATTTCCTGATGTTGCCCCATTACCATGGTCAGTTAAGGGCATTGAAGGATGTACTCCCGTTGGTTGGTAGAGACACTTGGATTTCTTTTGTTGTTGGCATATTCATAAATAGTTTGATTCTTTCTGGAGTTCTCTGTTCTCTCCTTTTTGCCTCCTGAGTGCAGCTGGCATGACTTCATTGGCTTCTTGTCTCTGTCTCCTTTGGGAACCTGAGGACCAGTGGGGTTGATGGGTTATGGAGGCAGGGGTGGCAGGAGGAGCCTGGCAGGGCTCACTGTACAGAGAGTGTTTCCAGCCATCTGCAGCACAGACTCCAGATGGAGAAGACTCAGGGGCAGTATGTCATGGACAAGCCGAGTGAGGCAGGAAACAAAGAAGGTGCTGGGGGAATGGATCCTGCTGCAGTACTACTTGGGAGAACTGAAAGGGGTCTGTGAGGAACAGGAACAAGTCATCAGAGACTCCAGACCCAGGAGCAGGTGGTAAGAAAAAACAGCTGGGTCAGGGTTAGGTCCAGCACCATTTCCTCATGTAACATTACTGTCTACCCATCCACCCAAATGTGCTTTAACTTATCACTTTACTAGCCCTCCCACACAGGTTCATCCCCCTCACTCTCATGACATCCAACTGCTCATTTCTGTGTCCATGCATCAGTATTTCTGGGCAGTGAGTTTCTTGTAAGAATCAGTTGGAAACAAACCCTGATGTTCTTCTTGAAGTTTAAGGCCAAACAGAGAGATGGGTCAATGACACTTCACATTCCTACATGTCATTGTGATGGGGGTGGAGCTCTGTACAGACTTGAGGAATTAGTTCCAATTCCTGTGGCTGATTTGATTTTCAGGATTCTGTGAGTTCCCAGTGGGGGCAGGGAAAGCAGCTTGCAAGGAGGAAAGCCTACTACAAATGTCAAAGGATTGATTCTCTTTGTCACCGTGTTGGATGGCATGTGTCCTTTTTTCCTCCTCTTCTCTGCATCCCAAGGTGGTCTCTTCACCATGCTCAACTCTTGGTTCACACTGACAGAAACATCAGTGGAAGTTTGCCAGCAGTGTTTAATATGTGTTTCTTTGGCAAGTTCTCCCATCGTGGAGCTTATAATATGACAATGACAGGTTGTTCAGGCATGTGGAAATGGCTTGTGACAGGCTGAGGATTGGGGTGGGAGATATGAGGCTTCAGGACAAAAAGTTCTCTAAGAAGCTCCATATAGTCTGGCCAAGGAGAGCACATTCACCAATACAATTACAGTCCTGAGGGATGGAGAGCAGCATCATTGGATTCTTCTGAAAGAGCTGCTGCGCTCGGTCTAAACTCACGTGCTCATCTAGCTTTTCTTCTCACCTTATTTTGTGTTGTGTCTCTTTCCCTCTCCATCTCTCTCTTTCTGTCTCTTTCCCTCTCCATCTCTCTCTTTCTGTCTCTTTCCCTCTCCATCTCTCTCTTTCTGTCTCTTTCCCTTTCCATCTCTCTCTTTCTGTCTCTTTCCCTCTCCATCTCTCTCTTTCTGTCTCTTTCCCTCTCCATCTCTCTCTTTCTGTCTCTTTCCCTCTCCATCTCTCTCTGTCTCTTTCTCTCTCCATCTCTCTCTTTCTGTCTCTTTCCCTCTCCATCTCTCTCTGTCTCTTTCTCTCTCCATCTCTCTCTTTCTGTCTCTTTCTCTCTCCATCTCTCTCTTTCTCTCCCCCCTCTCTCTGTGTTTCAGGCAGTTGGAGCTATGTGAGGGGTGTAGTACACCATGATTTGAATGATGGCTTGAAGAGACCCCTTGGTTTGTCAGTGTCTGCTCTGAAACAGGCATTCTTCCTTCCCAGAAGCTTTGTGTTTTGGTTAGACTGGAAGACCATCAAGCTATTGGGATTCTGTTTGTGCTTGCACTTGTGTGAGAGTGTATTCATGCCTGTGCTCAAACGTCTCCTAAGAACACAATCTTCTAATGAACAGGAGCAGCATAGACTGGAGGAAAATTTGCAGTCCCTGCTGAAGGAGAGGGAGCTGGTCATCCAGAAAAAGAACGTAGCAGGAAAGTGTAGCATTGCTTGACCACCTCCCAGATGAGGTATGAACACGGACTTGGAGTTGGGGGTTGAATTCAAGTGGATCTCTTCCTTTTGTGGGATCTATCTATAGAGCAGCCTTCTAGCCAACACCAAGAAAGGAACCCTTCAGAGTTGTTCTGATCCAGTCAATAAGAACTTTCCTCCAGGTAATAATATGCTTGATATTCAGGGAGTTGTAGAATTGTGTCCCCCTTGCTCCCTTATGAGTTCTCTGGTGTGTTCTGAGAGGCCTTTTCTTGAACTCACAGAGCTCTGCCTACTTCTATCTCCTGAGTCATGGGCTTAAATAAAGGTGTGTCTCACCATGCCTGAATATAATTACATTTTCATTGAGGGACATAATCTGTAAGGATGAGAGTCCCAACCTTGGTCCCTCTTTGATATATCATTGGCTGTTCTCTTTGTTTGACCATTTCCCATGTGAAGTGTTCTATAGATATAGTAACTTTAGTCATTGCCAGATGAACCCAGACAGATGTTTCTTCTGCAGGATTGTTCAGAACTTTCCCAAGGTGTTGTGTAACAGACTCTTGTAGAGAACCAGAATGTAGATTCCCAGTTTTCATCCTAATGGAAACAGGGCTGTTTTCCTTACTAGAAGTCCCTGAATGCCTGTGTTCTCAGGCTCACACCTGAGGAAATGTTGCTCCACCATGATAGGCTCCGTCTTGCATATTGCAGATTTGAACAAAGAAGAATCTAACCCATGGTACCAATATCTATACAGAGTAAAATCTCTCTACCCAAACACCTGGATCCCCTTACTTTCCAGTACAGTAGTCATCCCAATTCATGTAAAAATCAAAGCTGGCTCTCCTTCTCTAAATCCAAGCATGTTGTTGAAAGAAAAATTCAGAGTTTCTGTCTCATATCAGAAGAGTCAACTGGTGTGAGGCAGAAGAAAACAAAATCTAGGGACACAGTTATCTCTGAAAAAAATCCTAATTTCCTCATACCCAGTTTCATCATTATTGATACCTTTCCCGGTATGCACACCTATAATATTAAAACCTTCTGTGTTGATATGAATGTTTAATTCTTCCACAGTGAACAATAAAATTTCCTAACAGCAATTTTTGAAGTCTCCAGAAAGAATATGGGGCCCCACAATATTGATTCAACTTGATTGAACTTTTTGTCTTTGAACTAGTATATACACCATTAAAGGATTGGTTTGGGACTAAAACTGCTCTAGACAATTCCAGACTAGCTAGCTGAGATGGTGTATGCACTCTGACCAGAGCTTCAGATAAGAACTTAAAGAAGCATCACCTGTTAGAGCTAGACTTCTTGAGACTTAACCATTGCTTTAGGTTTTTTTTCCCCCTACACGATCCCATAGAGTCACCTTTGCCCCATGACAGGAGGAAACAGTTCTAAGAAAACAATGCCCCCTTTCCCTATAGTTGGCTTAGATACTGTTTTGTTTTTTTCCCTAGAAAATGTATAATTATCACCTGCTATAGGTTGGTTTTAAGTTGTGTAGGGTTGGGAATGGAAAATGATGTTCAGATTCAGGAATCTGTTTCTTGTGAACTATTTTAGCAACTACTAACTATAGACAACTTACATTGTTATAAATTCTTGTATATTGAAACTTTTGTAAAAATTAATTTTGTATTCCTGTCTTGGATAATTTGTATACTGTTTCAAACTTTTCTCATGGGGGCCCTTTCCTCCTTGCCTCCTGGAGGTCAGCTCCTAGGTGGCCTGCATTTGTCATGAGCTATGCGTAACACCTTCCCCTCTTTCCTTTACAATGGAATGACCAAGAAAGTGTCAGGTCATTACATCACCAGGGGACAATTCTAGTAGTGGTTGGTGAGGCTCAGTTTCCTTAGCAGAGGGCTGAGTTCTCTCTGAAGGAGAGCTGGTGACTGACTCTTGTGATGCTGCCCTTTTGAAGCCTGTGGTCTTGACTCAGAAGCGGCTGATTTGTAAGAATGCATAGGGAAAGGGGTGCTGCTAGGAATCGTGGTAGACTTGGCCGGACTGGGCTGGGGAGAAAGGAAGCCTGTGCTGATACATTATTTACAATTTATTACAGTTTGCCTGAGCATTCAGAAAGCAAGGCTCACCACAAGCTATAGAGGTCAGGCAGTGTTGTCACACATCTTTAATCCCAGGACTCGGAGACAGGTAGATGGATCTCTCTGAGTTCAAGGACACCCTGGTCTACACAAGGGTGAAGAGGAACAGACCTCATGCCTTTGATCCCAGCATTTGGAATCACACACCTTTCATCCCAGCACTGGGAAGGTGGAGACAGCAGTGATATGGAAAGTAATGAGCTCCAGTAATGCCAGGGATCATCCATTTGGAGCAAACGAGCTGCATCTTACCTACTGGCAAAATAATTTCTGTAGGTTTTTTACTAGGAAGTTGTTTAAGAAGATTCCTTCATCAAATGTATAATTTCATATAAAGAAAGAGAATTATACCATAAATAGATTTCTCTAATATCATTATCTTGTGCACATATAGGAGATAACAGTGAATTCCCCATGTGGAAAGTACTAAATGTACTCCAGTCAATCTCAGAGATCTCTGGTTTTGGAAGAAGGAGGTGCTGCAGGGTTTGCCTTGTCCCTGTGGCACAATGCATTGCCCAGGTATGACTCAAGAGGGAAGAGCTTGATTCTGCCTCCACCTGATATGCCATGCTTTGTTGACTTCCGTGGGAGGCCTTATGCCTCTTGAATGGAGATGGGAGGAGTTAATGAAGGAGTAGAAGGGAGGTGGGGGTAGAGAATGGGAGGAGAAGAGAAACTGTGGTTGGTATGTAAATAAATAAATAGGTCAATAAATAATTATAAAAAGAAGGGACTGTCCCCTGTCTTAGGAGGAGAAATACCCCTTCAGAGTGACTTTCCTTTCTAATTAATTATATTCCTTTTTGAAGGGGGAAGTTTGCCTCCAGAAGTCTTGCTGAGGAAGCGCAGACATGAACAGACATGAGCAGGCATGAGCAGGCATGAGCAGGCATGAGCAGGCATGAGCAGACATGAGCAGGCATGAGCAGACATGAGCAGGCAGTCAAGAAGCCCTCACAGGGATGTGTGCACATTAGCCTTAGCGTTAATCTCTGACCTAAGGACTGCCACTCAGTACTTACCACCCCACCCCATACCTAGCAGTTAAGGTGCTTTTATGGTCTCACCCTTTTCCTGACATAGCATAAGGTTGAGATTCATGGGCAGTGCTGTGATTTCAGATCCATTTCCCCATATCTCAAAATTTTAATTGTCAGGAAATCCAAGGAAAAATACATAAAGTTAAGTTTATTTTATTTATAGCTTAGAAAAAAATTGAGTTCCACTTGATGTGACAAGACACACTCCAGAGTCATTTGTTGATACAGTGGCAAGGTGTGTAAATCATTCGGTGTCTCTGGGTCTTTTTAAAACGATGAAGGAAACAGTGGTTGCGTTCAGGGGAATCAGGATCTTCTGATATGGGAGAGATGTGCCAATGTTGATCATGTCAGGACTTACTTTCACATCTCACTGACTTGTGCAAACCCCTGCGTCACAGAATGGTCTCTAAACATCTTCATGGCATTGAGTTCCCAGGCAACAGTCACTTTAGCAAGGAAAGAATTGGTTTTAGCCCACAGGTCAGGATAATAGTCCATTTTGGGGGAAATCAAGGCAGGAATTCAGCTAGGCATATGACATTCACAGCCAAGAAGAGACAGAAAGAAATGCAGGCATGCTGTCTGCTTGCCTCTGTTATACCCTAGCTTCCTCATCGTTACACATTTCAGCCCATAGCCAATGAAGTGGTTCTGCCCATGTTTAGGGTGAATCTTCCATCTAATTAACAATCTATAAAATCTCCAACAGACATGTACAAAGACACCCTAATATAAGGAACTCTTAACTGAAGGTCCCTCTTTCCAGGGGACTCTAATTTGTGTCTGTCTGATAATAAAAACTAACAGTCACACTGCCCCAACAAAACTGCCAGGCTTTGAGCAGATTTCTGTCTTGCATCTAGAGCTGTGGTCCTCACCCTGTGGGTCCCAACCCCCTAGAGGGGTCACATATCAGATATCCTGCATATCAGATATTTACATATCAGGTATTTACATTGTGATTCATAACAACAAAATTAAAGTTATGAAGTAGAAATGAAACTATTATGTTTAGAGGTCGTGATAAAACGAGTACTGTATTAAAGGCTGACAGCATTTGCAAGATGAGAATCACTGGGGTCAAGTCTCCAGTGGGATCCTAGGCTGCATGTTCCTAAATATGAAAGGACATGCAAAGGAATTTCCTGAATGTCTCTTGCCCGTGAGGAAACTCAGTTCTGTGTGGCAGATGTCAACTGCCTGTCCACATTTACTACCCAGTGAGAGCACACCACTTTGACCTCAACACAGTGGACTTCTCCCACTACCGACACGCTGGTGACACATTTTGGTCACACTTTGAGATCCAATGACCACACCACCATCTTATGGGTGCTTGTTTCTAGGCTGTGCCGGCCTCTTCCAGTGGCACAAACACGTCCTAAATGATTGCTATTTCCATCCTAAACTCTCAGGAATGCGTATCTTTATTTTTGCAAGCAGTATAAGGATTGCGTCCCAGAACTTTTGTGGCCTTTTCCCTGTTGCATCATCCCCTCTTGTGTGCCTTTCCTTCTAGGGCCGAGACTGAGTCAGGCTTTGCCATGGGTGCTCTCTCTGCACAGAGCATTGGTGACACAGACAGCTGGGTGTCAATGAAGACTTTCCAGTCTGCAGGAATAGACTTCCAGAACATCACCCTTGGTTTCCCTCTAACCAAAGAGATCATCTGCACTTCCAAGGTCACCAGGTAGACATTCCTTTGAATATTTCTTTAAGAACAGTGGACCTATGATTTATTAAGTGGTCAGTATCAGGTGTTGGGGGTGGGGCAGACATACTCAAAAGAGAATGTGCTTTTTTATATGACTACAAATGACATGAAAGAGAAACTATTAAGTAAAGTATCAATATTGAAACTACTTCAGTAGACGCTTAGGCCATTTGGTACCCTTACTACAAGTCCAAATAACTCTGATTTTTATGTATTTCTCTTGCTTGCTTGCTTGCTTTGTAGCAATTATCTGGAAGCCCCTAGTGATTCAGTCATCTTTTCAAGAGACCTGACATCAGCAGAGCTAGAGATATATATGCCACAGTGCTTCATGGGTAAAAATCACTTTACCTGTTCGTTCTCTGAGACTTGTGGAAGAAAGAACATCAAATGAAAAACAGCTGTTCCTGGTTGTAGACGAGCAACTATGGATATGCAGGATGTTTGGAGATCTGCCTCTCTTCTCCAGGCTGATCAAAGCCTTCCCAAGTCCTGTTTTGATGTCATGCTGTCCACTCTGTAGACAAAAGACGATGGTGCTGGTCAGAGGAGCAGGGTATCACTCCAGAGGGGCAGAAGGAGGTGAAGTACACAAGGATTCAGTTCCCTGCTGAGCAGGAGGTCAGCTACTGTTTTCTCAGATCCAGAGAGGAAGAGGTAGGTCTCCCCCTTTCAGGAAAATTCTTCTTAATGCCTTTTCAATGATGAATGGTGCACCTAGTGTCTACTAAAACTAGCCTCGGTGAGAGCCCTGCAAAGTCCTTTGCTATAGGCCTCCCCAAAGTAAGGCCTAGCACATTGTTTAGCTGTAAGTGTTACTCTGATTTAATAAAATAGCGTGCTATGTACAGTGCTAGCCCCTTGCCTGGGCACTGATCATTTCATCCATTTCCTGATTAATATGTGCTGATGTTTTTGCTGTACTATTAGTACCTTTACTAATCATAGAGGCTATATTTGAGACCTCTCTTTATATTTCAGTAACCATTCCTGGGATTGGTTATAAAAGCATAAAAACAATCCTTAGCATGGCAAAACAACATCATACTATCCAATTCCAGGTATGCCTTTTATCCCCCTGACAAAGAAATGGAGTTTGCATTGAGAATTTGAGAGTTAACATGTAATATAGTCAGTAAACAAAATGCCATCATTTTTGAATCAGTAATAGTGTCCTTGTTATTTGCTCAAAATCTCAGTTGATCAGAAAGTCTTGATGTCTCTCTCCACATCTCCTCCTGAGGGGTTTGTCACCTACTTTCAGTTGCTTCACTGCTGGTGGTCTCAGAGATACTGTCCTGGTCAGATTAAAAGTCATCTGGGACTTCATATCTTTTCTGGAAAAAAATATAAGCATAACCTCGCCTTGATGTTAGATCATCAGACCCTACCACTGATTAGTTTTTAGATGTTTTTACTTAACCTATTCCTTAAGCTGTGTTTGCTTTGAGGCAAAAATGCCTTAACAGGAGCACAAAAAGCATTATCCTTTAAATTAAAAAAATTAAATTTAACTTAGCTAAACATAGCATGATGTGTGTGATTTTATGTAAATGCATACATACTTTGATTTTTTTTGCAAAAAGGTTTCCATTCAAGAATTTGATGGTGGTTTACAATAGCTTTATCTTGTTGATAGTAAGAGATTTTAGTAAAATCACTAATATTTCATATAAAATTGTCTTTGCTAGTATAAGCAGGACAATTACCAGTTTCTAGTTATGAATGAAATCCCAGATATAACATGCATTCAGAGTTATTTGACAAAGTCAAGTCTTAGATATGACACAATGGTATTTTTGAGGAGATGCCAGTGTCCCATGCTAAACACAGGTTTTGCTCTGCAGCTGACCAGCTAGAGAGAGGCATAATGCATGCCTGTAGTAAATTCCGAGCCTCAATTTCCATATACCTGACAGCTGTGAATGTATAATTTCAGGAGAAAACTAACAAAGATCCTTAACTTCTAATTGTATACTTCACCCTACAGTCGGGGGGCTAGGGCTGGGACTGAAGAGTTCCCATTTCACAATCTGTAGGTGATGTCTGTACCGTGTATTGGGAGCCTTAGTGAACAGCAGTACAGCTCTTGGCCAGCACTCTAACACAGGTACTACCGAGGAATGAGAATGTCTGTTCTGAAGACAGCAGAAACATCATCACAGTTTCTGGTGGGCCCAGAACCGTGGTAACTCTGTAGCATGTGAGCTGTGCAGGGTTCCTGAGGGAGGTCACACAGGCTAGCTGCCATCCTCTACACACCCCGCTCTGCGGCCCTGGAACAGGATAGCAAGTTTAGGAAGCATGAGAAGGTGCCAGCACACAGGCAGCAACCCATGGGCTCCAGTAAACTATCACACAACCTGAATTTATGCGAGCCTTAGGCCTGTGTTCATTGACTTCTTTGTTTCTGGGTCCAGGCCCTACCACCTGCCAAATCGTTTTTACGAGAAACTCAAGATGGAACATAAGCAGGTCATGTCAGAACACTGAGGCCACCCAGAAGTTCAACGAGCTGACCGAGGAGACCGGCTTCTGTTGGTAAGTGCTTGTCTTGGCAGGGATTTCCCACTGTTGTGCAATGGCATCTCTGACTTTGTCTCTGGACTACAGGGTCTGTGGCACTGTTTCTAGCCTTTCTGCTTCTTAGCAAGCAGCCTTACAAAGAAGCTCTTGGAATTGTCCCTTCATACTTAGTTTTCCTAAGGGTTAAAGAAACTGATAGCTCCTCCAAGCACCATGTTGTAATACTCAGTAGCCTCTCTACATCAGTGAGTATCAACCTGTCTAATGCTGTGACCCTTTAATACAGTTTCTCATTGTTTTGAAGACACTCAGCCATAAAATAAACCCACAGGTTGAGAACCACTGGTCCAGATAGAAGAGACATTGGCATCATGAGATGGGTGTTAGGCAGGGCTAACTTCTATAGGACCTGTGTACCCCTTGGGTCTCCCGACTTACCCAATTGTATGTGCCCACTACCTGGTGATGTTTTCACATTACCATGGACAGATTAGGACATATGGGGGACTCCTCTTGTGTTTGCAGGTACATTGATGTCTGTGATTGTTGGGGTTTTCAGAAATAGTTTGACTCTTTCTAGAAATAATGGGTTTCTGGATTGGGCCTTGCTATTGAGGGCTCCTGTTCAGGTCTTCATGAGAACCTGGGGTGGGGTTGGGTTGATGATGCTTGGAGTCAGAGGTAGCAGGGGAGCCTGTCAGGGACTCACTATGCAGAGGGTGTTTCCAGTGATCTGCAGAGTTGGCTGCTAATGGAGCAGCCTCAGCTGAAGAAGAAGGTGGACATGCTGAGACAGGAGAACAAGAAATCGCTGGAGGATGGTGTCCTGCTGAAGCAGCACCTGGGGGACTTGAAAGTGCTGTGTAACACAAGCATGAAGAGACCAGCGGCCTCCAGAAGCAGCACCAACAGGTGGGGTCAGGCCTCTAGGGTGAGGTTATCCCCACCACCATTTGCAAATTTATGTTTAACTTGTCCACATGTCCAGCCACCTGTGTTGCTTGTCCTCTGCCCTCCACCCTATACAGTTGCCCCCCCCCCACATCCTGCAAGCAATTTCCATCCCTCCCTGCCCCTTCCCTTTATCAATCTTGGCTGGAGCCAGGCCCTGCCTCACACTGTGCTCCTCTCAACCAGTGTCCAGCCGTATACATGTGCTCACCCACCACCTGCCCAGTCCGGGCAGCTGCTCACCAGTGTCCCAGGGAGCCCCTAACTTCTCGGTTGCAGAGAGCAAGTGCAAGCGGCCTGGCCTCCTTCTACTCCTGGCTCAGAATCCTTCAGGGGCGGGGGCATGGCACTGGTCTGCAGGGAGAGCAGGTCCCTGGACTGCACGCTGAGTGAGAAAGGCCAGCACAGCCAGCACCTCCTGCACTTGCAGCAGCAGAGCAGCAGAGGGAGCACAGTGACTCCCACATCAACTCCATGCACCACAAGACCAAGCTGTGCCAACCATTCCAGGAGGGCAGCACATGCAAACAGGGGGAGCAGTGTCAGCTCGCACAGGGCTTCCAGCTGTGCAGCCTCCCTGACACCCCAAGTACACGAGGAGCTGTGTTACACACACTACACAGCACCAGCTTCTGCCACTTAGCCCGCGCTGCCATTTCATCTAGAAAGTAGAGGAGGGGTGGACAGTGGGGGTGACGTGGGGTGAGGTCCAGAAACCAGCAAGGTTTGGCCCAACCTTTTTGGACACTCCACCCAAGCCTCAGTTTCTGGGGCTTCCCTTTGGGCACCACCATCCCATCGGCATAAGGGTCTGGAGTTGGCCCTGCAGCCCGACAGCCCCACTTCTCTCATGCTGCCACTGGCCTTATCCTGTTCCTCATCTGCATATCCCCGCCCCCCCACCTCAGTGCACTCCATGCCCTCAGATGCCCCCAAGGTGCAGCACCTAGGTGACTGCTGCAGTAGGGATCACTCTGCTCTATGTCCCAGGAGCTGGGAGGACGTGCTGGTCCCCAGAGACCCACGCTTGGCCTGCCGGCCAGCCTCCTGTGGCTACAGTGCCTTTGCCATTGACTGTGGAGCTGAGCAGCCTCATCAAGCCATTGGCCATCTCCATCCACAGCTGTGCTTGGGTCAAGGACTCCACCTGCTACCACAGCCTGCTCAGTGCCTGGTGGGCCCCATGCTGCCCACTATGCAACCCCCACCAGATTCCTGCACATCCTTTGTCATCATATGGCTTCCAGCTGCTGCCCTGTCTGCCCAAGTCACATGAGTTCCATGCTATCCCCAGCCCCAGAACACCCTGTTGGAATGCTGCAGCTATCTGAGCTGCTTCCTGAGCTCAGGCAGCCTCAATAGTCATGGCCTGCCCATGTTCAGCTGCCTCTCCATTTCCCAGGCCTGCGCCAAGGGGGCACCCTTGAGGCATTCAGAGAGGTGCTGGCAGGGGGCACCAGGCAGGGTGACACTGCTACAGGCATACTCAGATGCCCTGAAGAGCAAGCACATGGACTTGAACTCCACTGGGAGGGGCCCCTTCCATTTTGGGTACTCAGTTCATTTTATTATTGTTGCTGTTGTTGTTACAAAGTCTTGTTCTTGTATAAATAAAAGTCAACAAAATTTTTGCATGGATCAACAAAATATTCACAACAGAGCAATTATGATGTAGGTAGAACAAAAGATACCAAACATTTGTTTAGGTCTCAGATGAGTTTAAAACTCTAGTAAAAACAAAATCAAAACCAAAAAGAAAAACATCAAGCCAGCACCAGTAGCTAAGATCACCATTCCATCTCTTCTTTCACTTGAAAGCTTTAGAGTTCAGATGTGAGAACTCTCACCTTGGAAGAGCTTCCTAATGTTTCTCTCAGACCAGTGTGAGCCGGCCAGGGGCCATCTCCCTAAAGCATAATATTCCAGAATTCAATACAATGCCGAGAACATCCCTTGGTAAGAGTAGCCAACCCTCAGTCAAGTTTGTTGTGGTTCTCCTTGTTTTTGTTTTGTAACAAAGTTACAATTGTCTGGGGGTGGCAGAACCCTTGCTTTCCAAAGGTTGTGAGGGGCTTCCTTGCCACCATGAAATAGGCATTCAGCTTAGAGCCTTTTCCTCTGCTCTCTGGAAGCCTACAGCAGTGCTCAGTTCCTAACTGTTGGGAAATAAGGGCTTCATTCTTAGCTGTTTTGAGTTGATTCCCACCATTGCACCACAACTCAGTAAGAAAAAGTTATTTAATTCATTATCCTGTGAAAAGTGTACAGTGAGGATGTTGTACATACTGTATTTATTGAGTGTGACAGAAAGCAATTGATATGTACTGTTTTATTATGTTAAATTATACTTGACATTAATTGGGAAAAATGTGGACTATGTTTTTTCATACTACTATATATTTTGTAACTACAACATGGTTACTTTCTTGTAAATGAGTAAGAAAATTTTACTTTAAGACATTGTAATATCTACTTCATGATTTCTTTCCTTCCTTGTTTATGTAAACTTTGGAAGATTGCAGATTTCCTTACAAATATCCATCTTGATGCTTTGGAAGTAGTTTGAGAAATATTTTTAGTTTTTTTAGACTTTATAGTATTTGTAACCCACCCAACACTTAAAAAAAAAAAAACAGAATGAACACATACTTTCCAGTCAGGTTCCCTTTGAAAGACCCCAATAGGGATACTTTCACGGAAGTGAGACCCTTACCCAAGGAACAGTGAGACCACGAACTTGGATGCAACAGCAAGGGCTTTATTGGTGACATACGGGTACCCGGGGGTCTCAGTCTCGGGGAACTGAGCGCGCTGAGCTGGGGACTCAGGGGTTCTTTTATAGCAAAAAGCACAGTACAGAAGCGAGAAGCCTAGTAACAGGACCCTGATTGGGCAATTGAGGTTTTTCTTGGAACTCAAGTCTTGGCTTTGGCCCTATCTGAGGAACAATTAGTCTCTGTGTTTGCTCAATCCTGCTGAGCTGGCCGTCCGGCCACCTGCAGATACCCAGCAGCCTGTGTCCTTGGGACTGAGCTCCCTTCTGATAGGCAATGACTATGCAGCTGTGGGGGAACGGAATTCTCCATAAGCCTCAGCTGCCTGTTTAAACTGGGCCAGGGTCTTTTACCTTGAGCCATGTTTTTCCATTTCCAACTTTATTTACCAGAAAGAAAAGTTTGCTGATTCAACCAGTTCTACTGTGACACTGAGTATAGAGACGTGTAGCAGTAGTGGAGAAATCATCTCAGTGCCTTCATAGAGCCCGAATTTACTTTAAATGTTCCTCAACAAAATAAATACTTCATTAGTGCTTGAGAGAATTTGAAAGGCAGGTGGGTTCACCTGCACAAAAGGAAAAAATACATGTGTGTATACATATATGTGTGTATGTATATGTATGTATATACATATACACATGCACATATGATACACATATATATGTATATGCATATATATATTTCAAAAGTGATGAGGCCGTAACTTCGTGCTGAAACGGTCTGCATTACATGCATATGCCTTGTTTAATGACATTCCTAAACTTGTGCCATTATTTTTCAAAGTAAAAAGACAGGCATGTCTCCAAGGCTTTTCTAGATAGTGGATGAATGAGCAGTCCCTTAGTTCTCGTGTAGGTAATGTTGAAACACCCTATGTGTCCTCTGCACTACTTTAACAGAAGTATGTTTTTAATGTAACAGCGTAAGTCAAAGTCAGTTTTAATTGAGGAGACCAGTTCACTACAAACTCTGAGTGTAACCATTGTACAGTAAATGTTTTGTAGGTTTCCCCCATAAAGAATTTAACAGGAAAATATACAAATGATAAATATACAAACCAAAATATCACTAGTTGAATTTAAATATTAAATATATGTGTAAATATAGTTAACCAAAAGGGCAGTGGCTTACACACTTTGTAAATGTATCATGAGACTGAAAAGAAGGATGCCATATTTCTGCAGTTTAACACATCTAGAGCCAAACCAATACAAGAATACAACCCATTACCACCAGGTTAAGGCCTTGTGCTGGGTGTAATAGCATGTACCTACACAGACACTGTCAGTTCTTCTCCACTACAGTCTAACAAAGCATCAGATGTTGGAGGCCATGTTAAAGCATTGAAGCGAGACAAGAGAAGAGGACAATGACACGGGAACACTACAAGGATGGTTCCTGGCTTTGGGGAAGGAGAACATTCACTTTTATTGGAGGCCCAACTCTTCTGAGTTTTCACTGTCAATTTTATTCTGCTTAAAAAAAAAAGTCAACAAATACCACTGGGTTATCTGCTCATGAAATGGTGTCTAGATGTGGATTTATTTACTTATTGAAATAACCTTTTGTTATCAGCTTGTCAGGGTCTTACTAGGTAGGTCAGTCTGCCCTTGAACTCAAGTGCCACCTATGCCTCCCGAGTGATAGGATTAAATGTATGCACAACACAACTCCTCATAGGGATTATTCTTGATGTCTAAATAGGCGTTGACCAAAATGTTTTCAGATCTTTATTTCTCAATCATTTTGATTGTTTCTATTTTCTACATAGTGTTATGTCCTCGTAAAATAACCATGGGTCTGTACCATGCAACAATTTTCTGACTAAAAAAAAAAATAGAGATGATTAAAGTGTTACACATGTTAAGGGTTTTGTTTTTATTGTCTTAATATAAACTGCATAATGAGGAAACTGATTGAGAAGAACAATGAAAATGTATCTAAGGCTGACAAAACCTTGCATTTAATTAATGTATTCCTTGTGGTTCAACTTTCTCTGATGAAAACCTTGGAGATCATTCCACAGTTCCACTTTAAGCACTACTGGCAAGTGTGCACACTTCCGGATCATTTTATCGTTAATCTGTTTTAAGACTTTTTGTTTTAAAACTTCTTTATGCTAGACTATAAATCTAGAGGTAATATTTAAATGCAAACTATGTGAGGCTTCTCGTCTGTCAAGTAGCATTGAGTTGGTTTGCAAGCTGCAAACTTTGTTTTACTTTTATGCACACTTCCGTCAGAAACGTTTTTTGTGCATTTGTGTCTGTGCACCACAGGCAGGCAGGCTTTGGCACCCCCTGAGGTCAGAAGAATGTGCTGGATCCCCCTGGGACTGGAGTTTCGTGAGCTCCCTTGTGGGTTCCAGAGGAAGTAGTAGGAGGCAGCAAGGTGAACCTCCCCAAGGAGCAGGACCACTCCAGGACCTGCCGTCTTCACGGAAGCAGACGCAGCCTCACCTGCTGCCTGTTCTCCACCCGAAGGGCATCATCATGAGGCTGCCACAGTGCACTGAGGTCATGGACAAGTTTGCAGTCCTGCATGACACCCGTCCCTCTGCAGCTCACTGAGTGGGTCTAGGCAGTGGCCACTGTTCTACCTGGATGGCAAGGGTGACAGCCTCTCTCTTAGCCCACTAATGCCTGAGTGCAACTTCATGCCTCCAGCCTCTGCTCTGCTTCTCTCCTGGAACAATAACATGAAACAACTAAAGCCTTTCCTTCCCTGTCCTGGTTGCCACTGCTCAGCATCCTCAGGAGGCCACCAAGGTGGGATTCTATGCCAGGGGCAGAAGGCCTAAGTTTTGATCGCTGACTCTCCGATTTAGGATCACAAGTGCCTTTTCTCTTTGTGGCTCTCTCCTGGAAGTCCCCTATTTGGCCTACATTTGCTGTGAACTACACACAACACCTTCCCCACTTTCCTTTACAATGGAATGGCGCAGAATGTTTAAGAAAGGTACTTGTCACCACGTGAAAATTCTAGTAGTGTTTGATAAGGCTCAGTTTCCTTAGCAGAGGGCTGAGTTCTCTCTGAAGGAGCACTGGTGACTGACTCTTGTGATGCTGCCCTTGGAAGTGACTGATTTGTAAGTGTATAGGGAAGGGGTGCGCTGTGTGGTAGGCTTGTCCTGACTGAGCTGGGGAGCATGGGAGCCCTCCTCTCAGGTAAGGAAGAAAACAGTGCAGAGGAAGGAGCACTGGTGCGTGGTATGTAATCATGCAGGAACTGTAAGTGATCCAATTTAATTGCTGTTAGCAGCACGTGATCTATTAGTCTTGCTTTTCCGGAGCTAAAATGTTCAAGAAGGATTGAATGGCAAGAGTTTTTGAATTGAGTTGCTGTATTTAACACTTCAGAACCTTGAAGTAGAACCTGTTTCTTGTGTGGGTCCTGAATTTCTTTATAGTGAATTAATGCACATAGTAAAATCAATAACCATACTCATGTAAAGGAAAGAGTATGAAAGGAACTGGGAAAAACAAAAAGAAAAAAGAAAAATGTTATTTAGCAACATGTAGGTCATAGTCTTTGATTCACTTGTCCTTTATAATTTCTCTTCTTTTAATAAAGTGGTTTTTGGAAGCAAAAAAAAAAAAAAAAAAAAAAAAACTTGTGCTCTTGAAGGCCATTAGCTTGGCTATAGAATAGTTTACTGAATTTACTACTCATTGACTAAGACAGAGGGCCTTAAAACAAAATAAAAGAAAAACATTGCTTCAAATCTGTTCTTTTAGATACAGGGAGTGTGTGTTAGTGTTCAAATGTAACACGAATAATAAAAATCCGAAGACAGGTATTGGGGTTCAAACTGAAGATCAGAGAAGCAAAGCAGCCAACCACCAGAGAGTTC